GGTGTAATTCTGTTGGTGTAATCAAAACCGCGACCAAGGCGGCGAAATCTGCGAACGATAAGGCCTGATCGTCGTTAGGTAACGTTCTAGGTAACGAGATACACGCGCGCGCGAAGTAGGAGAATTCAAAAACGGTACACGGAAAAACGTCGTTGATATTCGCGTGTCAACGATATATATATATATTATTATGTCGACATCCATCGTGAACGATAGGATTATACATATGAATAAATGAATAAATATAAATATAAAAATATATATATATATACACACATTATATATATATACATACCTGATTTTTTCGTAAGACTGCCATGTGTCACGTGTGTGCGCGCGCACCCGCGCCCGCCAGAACGATCAATCGATCGATCCGTATAGCTCGATCTCCCGCCGATGCTCGATCGAACTCGTTTCTTCGACGTGCCGTGAGAGAGACGATCGCGAAAACACGTATGCACATATACGGCGTGCACGTGCGTGAGTGTATGTACGAAGATTACGGTGAGCGGCCAAAAAAAGAAAAAAAAAGTCTTGTTCCTATTCCTTCTAGTGTGTGTGTGTATGTATGTATGGTGTGCGTGCGTGTGTTGTCTATTAGCGATACGCCATTCCGGTCGGCCGTGTCGCGATACGTGAGAAACGAAGAAATAGATGATTGCAACAAAAAGAAAAACGAAAAAAAAAAAATAAGGAAAATTGAACGTGAAAAGAAACGAAAAAAAAAAAAGAAAAAAGAAAAAGCGGTGGTCCTGCATTCGTGTTCTCCTCGACATTGTGACAAAACACGCGTTATTAAGTACGATATATCCCACGTTTCACGGCGAACGGTCCTTTTCTTCCCGTATTCGCGTGTGCAATCACTAGTATCCGGTGAGTGTTGTGTCACGAGGGACCGTGTTAGGGCGCGAGAGGAAAAGGCGGGATTTCTATGTTCCGTCACGCGATTCGCCCGCTCGAGCCGAGAGTGACGTGTATGGCCACTTCGTTTTCGCGTTTAAGAAAAAAAGCACACTTATAGTACTTATAGTATTTTTCGCGATTCATTTATGGACTCCAACGTTAACGACGATTAACCGGGGCAGAGAGAAAGGGAGAGTGAGAGTGAGTGAGAGCATGTATGTGAATTGTAATGGTGATTGAATGTATGTGTGTGTGTGTGTGTGTGTGTGTGAGAGAGAGCGTTGAAACAAAGGCACGACGAAGAAATTTTTTTTTCAAATAAAAGAGAATCTAAACAGAAAAACCGAAGTATATATACATGTATATATGTATATACTTGGGTTGTATATTAGAAGGGAAGGAAGTGTGCATGCATAGAAAGAATGAAAAGAGAGAAAGTGAGAGAGGGGCACGCGCGACGTCAATTTTTTAGTACAATGTTACTTGTATGAAAAAAAATGCAAAAAAAAAAAATAATCACGGACGGGGGAAATTAGCGTTATTTATTGTAAACGATGTAAACGATGAACGAATAATCAAATTCTAATACGACGTTGTGTTTTCTTTTTTTTTTTCTTCGACGTTACCGGAAACACGCGCCGTTTTACGTTTCTTCTCTTCTCCATTTTTCTGCTTTTTTTCTTCTGTTTTCCTTCGAGAGAGACTTTGTGCGAGTTCGTGAAAGCACGATGAAATAATACACCGACGGGTCGATCAGAGAGAGAAAGAGAGAGAGAGAGAGAGAGAAAGAAAGAGAACCTATCATACGATATAGAGACCGTTGTTTACCGTGGTGTTGAACGAACGTTACGAAAAAGCAAAAAAAAAAAACAAAAAAAAATAATAGAAAGAACAGGAGCATTAGTCTCGTGGTAAACGAGAAAGAAAGAAAAGCATAGGCGTATAAAGTGTCTCGTACGTAGTTCGTGAGAAACGAATCGAATCGAAACAAGGAAAAAAAAAAATGATCGGGAGCTCGATGTGATAATATTTATGTGCCAAATAGCGTTTTCGCGAGCCGGAAGT